GCGGTTGCATGACATGGTATATTGACGCGCTAGAAAAGGAAGCAGTTGATAAGGCTGCTTCGCATGCGCATTGGATGGAATGTTCCTCAATGAGCCTTTGCCTTCTTTCTGAATATTGGCATCTTCTCAATCTTTGTACGTGCCCTAAATCAAAGGAAAAAACGATAATCATAAAAAAATAATAAAAATAGATGCAATTCTTCTAACAGCCTCGCTCATCGATTGATAGCTCATTACATCTTAGTTAACTAATCGCATTAAGAGGTCGAAATATGAAAAAACTAAAGAGAACGTCTTACGTCTTTAATAATTTTCGAGCCTTGTCCATGAGCAGTTCAAGCAGTTTGTCCACTTCCGCCTGTAAATAATAGCAAGAGGTAAATTGAACAGATCGATGAGTGAATGCGCGAATAACGAGGCTTACCTTTTTAGCTTCGTAGAATTTAGGTAAAGAGAAGATGATGACCGTGGCTGAAATATTTATGCACGGGCTTTAGGTGATATTATAAAAGTGAAGAAATCTTGTTATCGGAAATGTGTTTATTTTCACTCAGTGGGATTAGATATCAATAAAAATGAGTGATTTAGTACATATTTAGTCAACTCATTCCGAGTTGACTGAGGGCACAAATGGGTCTCATCGCGTTTTGGCATCTACTCGATCTCAGGTGAACTTATTCAGGATAAGGAGTATGCTTAAAATTAAAATAAGACTGGTAACGAAATACAGGATCAGCATAATTGCCAAAACCCGCAAGATTTTGCAATGAAATTCTTAAGTATTAGTGGAATTTTTAATTCTTAAAAATATAATCAATACATATATTGTTGACTTACCCACGATACATAAAGTCAGGAAATTGAATCGAGCACCAACATAGGTTAGCAGATAGAGAAGGATGCCAAACTAGGGATAAAAATAACTCATCAAATATAGATCACACGTGGTTAAAGTAATGTCGCAAATATAGCACGCAATGATACATGGATGGGGCCGACCCCACATGTATTTACCATACCTTGAATGACTCCATAACGTTAGTTATTAGAAGAATTGATCGAATGCGAGAAATAAGATCATTTAAGTGATCAATTCCCAAGCGGGCCCATTTTTCAGAAGTCTCGTGGGGAATTTTTATTTCTTGGTTGAGATATTTGCTTTAACAATAAACAAGAACAAAGATGAATGAAATGGGGACATTGCGTATGATTAATAAAATTCAAAATGTGAGCAGTGAATTCACCTGAATGGGTTCTCTTCACTCTTGACTATGAAGGAATAATAGAAGCGCGCCGAAGTAACAAGAAGCAGACAGAGAAGGCACGCATAGGCAAAAACGGAAATGACTGAATAAAGAATCAGTGAAAGTTGCAGAAGAAGAAGACCTCCAAAAAGGAGCCCAGAACTAGCGGGCTGACGCCAGTATATTAGATCCATCACTGAAAATAAAATAGCACGGTTGGCATAGCCAGATTGGGTATGGAAATTTTGAACAAACATAAAAATACGACAAGGTTGGAACGGCAACGAGGAAAAGAAACTAGTTTGAGACAACTTACGGATACTTGCGAAATCCGATTTTAAGGATCTCCAGACTGGGATAATCGAGAGATGACAGTATGCTTATGGTTAATAATTTATAAAACAAAGTTAAACAAAATAAATAGGTTTCATAAGATTTTTTACTTGAAAAGGTAATGAAAGTAGATACAAGCGATATCTAACCTTT